GCGATTTTAAAATCCAAAATCAGAGAATAATTTGATATATCAGTAGGCTCTTCACTGGTAGCAGACCTGAAGGTTTAAGAACAGCTCGTTGCGCCGAACATTTATAAATATAATATATATTGTACTAGCTGAGCTGACTAAGTTAATAAATTGTTCTTTGTTTAAGTAACAAAAATCTACAAATTACAATTTTTGATAGCTTTCTATACATCGAAAATATCGCAATTAAAAATAAACAAAAGTTTAATCTATCGTCGCAGTGGGATGCATAATATTTCTGGTCAGTGCGTGTTTGGCGAATAGAAACAAACTGAATGTTTTGTCCACGCGAGAACATGTCACATATAGTTGTCCGAATTCCATGGGAAAGCCATGTTGTACCCAAATCTAAGCCATAAACAGACATTCTAATTGAAAATTGAGAGCATTTCAATTCAATTGGCATTCAAATTGTGCCATTCAGCATTTTGGCTTCGAAAATGATTTTCATTCATTTTTTATTTACTAATATTATGCCATTGCAAAGCCGTAGTGGGTTTAAATTATGAAGCAAATTCACTTGAATAATTCGCAGCTTCCGTGGCAACAACTGTTGAAGTCCACATTTTTTGCTGCCAAAATCGGTCTTTCTGCCAGTCATCCAAGATTGTTATATTTTGTCTGTACACTGGGAAATAAATACCAATATGTATATATATACCAAATATTAAGTAAATCGGAAATTCGAAAATATTTCTATAAGGTATTTGGGAGCTAAGGAATTTTTGACATTCAGGCATACTATTATCAAAAAGAGACTGTCTCCGAATTCCAACAATATATCTCACAGATTGACTGTTCTTTTCGGTAAAAAGTAAACAGAAGGCACTGGGGTCCCCATATTCGGTAACTAGGAGCTTGAACAGTTATTGTTCGATTTGTACAATTTTTAGACTTGAGATGGTATACCTCAAAGGCACTAGTTGTACAAAGTTTTGTCCCGATATATTCTTTGGTGTTTAGTTTGTATACTGGAAACTGTAAGAATCATATGGAATATAAAATTGTGCTATATAAGAAGTATACGCAATAATATAAAAATTGCGATTAAAAATCAGGGGTTGATCGTATAAGTATAAAAATTACGAATTGAATGCATTTTTCAGTAACGAATCCTGTAAAAATAAAGAAAAAACTTTGTTCAAATAAGACCAAAATAATAATATTTGGGGTATAAATAATAGATGTTGGCCGATTCTCAGACCTACCCGATAAGCACACCAAATTTCATCAAAATCGGTACAGCCGTGACACGAGAGTTTCATATATTAGATATACTTCTCTTGTATGTCTCTGGTGTTTCCTTCTGGGTGTTTGGGGTATAAAAATGGATGACAGAGAAAACACTTTTAAATTAGTTAACACATCTTAAGCGATATAAGTACATACAAAAATATATCATATATCAAATTAGCAATACCGTGTGCTTGCGGTCCCCTGCGATTATATTTGATTTTGTTGTCATATAACCTTCTTATAGCACGTGTTTATTTCGTCTAACTGTATTTTACAGGTGAGTTGCTGAGTATATACTTTATGTGCTTGAGCCGCTTGTAGATGGTGTCTTGCACTGTTAATATTACAGTTGTTGCTGCTCGCTAACGCGCACTTATCGGCGCATTTAATCACACATTCAGACATTCAATGGAGCTCCCCGATTCGTTTTTGTTTTATGCTTACGCAGCGCCTTTTTTCGTGTCGTCATGGCTTTGTTTGCGCCGCGAGCGACACAGAATATTTGCTTTTTATATTTATTCCCACCAATTCTCTACTCAAAGGTTGTTTGCTTTCCACCTGTCAACGTGCCGCCATCTGGATTCGCATTTCCATTTTATTTCTTATTTCCGCCGAAATAACGCAAAAGGAAATCGAATTCGTATCACTTTCGGATATTTCGGTTAGAAAGGCAAAACACCCTTCAAGCCCTCGGAATTTCGACAGAATATTGTACTGGCGGATATTTCACAGATACTCTTTGCCTCTTTCCAAACATCCCTTCATTTGTTGGGTTATTTGTTTATTTGCGAATTCGTTCGATTCTTACACCATTACACACACACACATTTGTCCGCTATTTAAAAAGTTTTAATATACATTGGCATGTGTGTGTGTGTTAGTATGTACACAGTCACATGTCTTGTTTGCTTCTGGAGCGAAATTGAAATTTATTGTCTCCAATTGAGTGCACCTTCGCATATTAGACTACAAACATATTCAAAATATTAACCACTGGCAACGTACGCACACATCTATGTGTATGTCTATGTGTATGTGGGTATATTCACGCTCATATCGCATCATTCTTCGAGTTAAATGAATCGAAAAGATGCAGAAAACCAGAGGCAAGTGAATACATGTTATTCGCAAACGGAGATGACAGGGCTTAAGGATATCGATGTCTGCTTATAATGTGCTACATATTAAACTTTTGCCCTGCGACTATAAATAACAGGTTGGCATACGCCATAAACAATACACAGTGCACGAATTGTGCGTACCGCGGCGAAGGCGGAGGCGAAGGCGAAGGTGTGCGTACAGTATTGTCAAAGGCTTGCCTTGGCAGACAGACGCCCGAAAACAATGTGCAAAGAGCAATTGAGTCGCAGGCACAGCTGTCGCCGAAGGTCAATGTTAAATAAATAACTGTATATAAATTATTTGTATACAATTAACTGACAGCATTTTCTTGCGGAACGTTTAACGTTGGGATAATGGCAATGCTGGTAACAAATAGCTTCCAGTTGTGTGGGCTTGGGCTTCTGTATTTGCGCATTCGATTTGAATCAATGAATTGAAATGATTTCGAATTGAATCTGATGAAATTAGAAACTGTCGCTCATGTCGTTTTTAAAATTGTTGTTTCAGGTACTTTTCATATTACAACTACAACTATTGTGTTATGCTGATTCTTATAAATTCTTGTAATAAGTTGTGATGTGTTCTCAGAAATGGGTAAATCTTGAAATATTTTCTTGCTCTCAAGCAGTAACAAGAAACTTATAAAGCCAAATTAAAACAAAACGTATTTATTATTCGCTTTTCAAAATTTTTACGAAATGTCACATTAATACAAATTATAATTTTCTAAAGTTAAGAATTTACAACTATATGTTTGCTGGTTTTTAACACGTTCAAAAGTTTTCGCTGAAATAAAAATTTACAATTACTGTTGACTGAAAATATTCATATTTTACATAAATATTTTTTCTTTAAATGTACAATAAAAAATATGCCCTTCACAATTGCAAAATGTTCCTTACAAGAACTTGATTCCGATCAACTATTTATTCGGCAGCTAGTTATATGCTATAGTGATCCGATCTAAACAATAGCTTCGGAGATTGAATTATTGTCTTAAGGGGGCGATACATGTAAAATAAAAAACAAATCGATCGAAAAACGTATTATATATTAAGGCGTGCAAGATAACTCGGAAAGTTCTCAACCGAGTCTTATGAAAATTGAATTGAATTGCTCAGTTTGTATGGCAGCTATATGCTACCGAGGTCCGATAGTAGCGGTTCCAACAATTAAGCAGCTTTTTAGCGAGAAAAGTACGTGTGCGAAATTTCTGTTGGATATCTCGGAAACTGAAGGACTATTTCGCGTATATACAGACCGACGGGCATGGTTAAATCGAATCAGTTCATCAAGCTGATCATATATATGTATGTATATATAGTTTATTGGGTATTCGACGCTTCCTTCTGTGTATTACAAACTTCGTGGGAAACTTAATATACTCGGCTCAGGGTATAATAATAATGACAAATTTTTCTTTAGGAACTAAATTCTCTCTTTTTAGTCAAAATACTTATAACATGTAAAGTTCTAGTTTTTTGGTTCAAGTTCAATATGTGGTGCATGAGAGTGTCCCGCTAATTAGTCCTCGTTTAATATTCAAACTAATATGTTATGTAAAATCGGACTCAATTAAGACGCATCCAATAATCCTATAATTCTATCATCCACAATTCGCGGCCGCGTAAGCATATACGAATGACTTTGATATGTGTTCACTCGAGCATTGCTTTTTGCAACGAACTACAAGCGAGTGTGCAAATACGCATTTATGATTAGCTGTGAAATATTCATGCACTTGCATATACATACATACATACATCGTTGCGCCATTTCCCTTGTGCATGCGAAAAACACTTAGAGGCGCCTGAAAAAAATGCACCCAATACGTTCGGCATTTATAGATCGGCACAGGATAAACTCGACTGAATGAAATTGTGCAAATTCCCAAATCGTTCGCACAAAAAACGGCTTAAATAAAAAATGTGGCGCCCGCATTCGCTTCCATTAGAAAACAACGCGTACAATTACTAACAACGGCAGCTAATTTTGCATGTATTTCGATGCAGCCACACATACATACTTACACGGGCATTCGTGTGCAGTAATGACGAAAGAATAAAATCAGCAGCATCAAAAAACGGCAGTTATTTTTGCATCGCACTGAAACCCTAGTTTAGACGTGCGAAAATGTGCTTGGCTTTGAGAGCGTCTAAATCTGTGTGCGAATATATACATACATATGTATAGATGTATGGTATATGTAAGTGACTGTGGGCGCAATAATCCTGTAAGTCATACATGACTGAGTCCATTCGTGCAGCTTTATTTGCCACACTCTACTGGCTGCCGCCTGACAGCCACCAGCTGACAGCCGCATCCAATTAAATTCCACTTGTGCTGCTATTATTCCTACCCACTGCGCCCCGCCGCTCTCCAGTTCCACCATTTTGCCTACCGTTTTGTGCGCTCAACGCTGCAATTGTTCTGTTCACCCGTAGGATGCTGCTCGGTTTTGCGTCATGCCGCTTGTTGCATACAGTTAGCTGCCTTCATTACGTTTTCCACTCATTCTTCATACATGCACACAGAAATACATACATACACTGAGTATATTATTTTTTCAACGCCAATTTTTGCGCCTCAGTTCTTCCACTCACCTGTAAAGTGGTTTGCCCGCGCTCTCACGAAACCACAATACCATATAAACTCTGTCATCCTTCGCTTCCGGCTCAATGTCACATGGCAGCGTTGCGGTGCGTCCCAGCACGGCTTCTACGGCCACAGTGGATACTGCAAATAAAGTGATACAAAAACGTAAGAAATTAGCTGGGTACTAATCAAATTAGGATACACTGTTAAGCAAGTAGTTATGGGTGAGGCTCAGGTAGTTAGCTGGCAGGAAGAACTTGCAAAGTATTGAACCCAACAATATTATTATATGCTAAATTTTTATCGGTCTACCTAACTTGTACATTTTTCGGCATTTTATATAAACGATACAATTTATTGATAGTTATGTTTGCTATGGGTTATTTGTTACAGTTTGCATAAAATAAGGTGCGGTGGAATCGCCTAATCTACTTAACAACTAGTACAAAACGCGGAGCCAACAGTCTGCCAGCGACTGTTAAGAACCGATAATTCGCATTTCTGATAACAAGTTATTATTATATTGAATAAAGTTGTCAATAGGAATATCTGTACGAACTTTATGCATTTTTCAACACTAAGCTTATACAAGTATTAGATATTCGATAGAAGTTCGCTTGACTTCATCGGGATTTATTGTATATTGAAATTTCGTTCTATTGGGTAATCGTAGTTGCCTACTTTGAAAATTAAAACGCAAAAAAATTTTTTTTAGTTACTAGTGTTCGTTTAATCCTTTTTTCAACTCAAAGATAGTAGGTTTGTTTCTTAAGTGATAGCTGTCACTAGCTAGTCAAATTTGTGCTCAAAAACTTTTATTAACCTAAAAAACTTTCAGAAGAGAGCACAAGGTGAGAGCCTAAGAAGAAAAGAGAGCTACTGCCCCACGAAATAAGAACAATTAAAACATATGTGTGTATTATGTAATTAGCAATATTTGACGAACTTACTTGAATTTTGTTCATTTTATAGTTTTGAATAATAAAAATAAAAATTTGTATGATTATTTTCAGGTTTTGATATGATGTGATCATTATAAACATTTTGATATTTTCTTGCTAATTTCTGGTAGTGTTTCGATTTTTTATTTTTTCGCTATTTCGCTCTTTGTTAATTTTTGCGATTATTCTTGATAGCTAGCAGCTCTCATAGCAGAATGCCTAGTAGCATTTGAGCAACAAACTTCAAATAATTGAAGCAGAAATTGAATGAGCTAAAATAATTTGAAATATTGACACTAGTATATACTATATATATATATATAATAACAGTCTTTGTATTTCTTACAAATTATTAAACTTTGGCGAGTGTAGATCGTGGATCGTGAATCCACATCGGAATTCAAGTTAAGTTATTCAGCGCTATGAATATTTTTAAAAAGCAAAAGCCGACACCGTTTGGACCTGATCATATAAAAACGGTTTAGAAAGAGAAATCTGTTGTGGTGGTATTAATTGTAATGTAACGATGTAAATTTTATTATTATTTTTAAGTTTAAAGAGGCTAATTAATGTGCAGTTTCGTGATGAACCAATAAATTTTGTAATTGATTTTTAGTATTGTAACTGTAATGATTTTAAATGTTTGAAGGCTATTTAATAGTTATGAGTTAATAAATTGCATATTCTATGTAGGTTTTTTTTTATTTTGCTAAATAGTTACAAGCTGAAAAACATTAAAAAAATTTTGAGCTTTTATGTCAAAAAACGCCATATTTGTACTTTTTGAAATTTAAATATGGCAACTATGGCAGCCATCAAGAATGGGCAAGTGGCCGGAAAGCTAAATAACTGAAAATTAATTCGCCTCGCCTTCTTGACCGCTTTGATTTATTATGTATATAAGTATATCGATTAATTTAAGTTGTTGCAAATATTCGTTAGGCGAACCAAACTATTTAACCTTTGCAACATGTTGAGGGAATTTTATAAACAAGTACATGAAACAGCTGCAATATTGTGGTCCAAAATAATTATCTGCGGACACAAAAGTAAATAAATGAAAGCAATAACGGAATCGAGTGAAAGTAAACAAAAATAATTACAATTTCCATTAATTGACACCGCATTTCGGTGACTTCATTTTAGGCATACAAATCTAAGAAATCTGTGAACATTTCTACCAAAAAAAAACGTGAAAGAAATCATCAATGAAGACGACTTCTCCCCATACGTCGCGCCAAGCAGTGGTCCTTTTTCGATTTACCATCTCAATCGCATAATCACAGTCGCTACGTGCGTGGGGATATTAATGTCGAATTGACGATTATTATCATTTTTTGTCGTCTCAATTCTCCTTTGCATTTAAATTGCCAATTGATTGCGTTGAAGCGAAAAAAACGATTACGGTGACGGCATTACGGCTCTTTGAGGAAATCGCATTGACGGTGGAATAGGAGCTGATGGTGTCGGTTGTGCTTGATCCTTTCAGAATGAGCAGTAAATGCGCAAACCGAAATCTCCTGTTTGCCGAAAATAAGCAACAAAAGCAAACACACATACACGCAAATGAATGAGCAAAGCAAACTAACAAAAACGCATGTGTGTATGCGCTGCCGTTAGGGCTTGTGGCAAGCAACAAGAGATTTGCGACTGCACCACCAAGCACTCACACACATACATAAATAGTATAGTGAATAATTTTGTAAATGTGGTTAGATAACAGTCAACAGAGCAAGGCGTCCAAACGTCTTAAAACATAGGGTTGTGTGTAAATTTTCACTTGATATGCTATTGTTGCGCACTCCCGAGATGCTGCAATCTCTATTTGTGCAGGGATATGTAAATTCATATTTATTCACATACCATAGTACATATGACGCCACATATGTATAAGCTTACATAACAAGCTTGCAAGTTCGGCTGTGTGTGCCGGTGCTCGATTTGACATTAATGAGGCAGGTGATGCCACCAGCATTAGGAGTAGAGGAAGTAATTATCAATCCTAGAAAGTGCTACCCTGACACATACAGCAAAACAATACGTTGCCATCTGCACTTACTTGCAAATCATCTTCAACATCAGCTCTACTAACAGGTGGCACATACGCGCAAATTGCATTTACTTTAACTGTTCATTTAGGTGCAAATAAAGGAATTCACTGCAATGCTCAACCGCTAACTTCAGATGTCATATGAAACGCATCGCACTCAAGCGAAGCTGAGTCGAGTTGAGTTGAATTTAGTGAAGTCAAATCGAATCGAGTTAAGGTAAATGGAATGTCAAGATGTTGTGCAATTTCGAGGGGATTTGAGCTCATTCACAGCGGTATTCCTGTCCCTTTTGCTTTTGCTTGCGATGTAAGTGCGTATTACTATCTTATGTAGCATCTATGCAGATGGGGCTAAGTGCTTTTGTTACACTTACGGAATTGGGTAATTTGCAGTTAAAGTAAAGAAAATTTATAGAAAAGCAGCGGCTTGGAAGATGTGTCGTTTTCGATAAAAGCGCAATATTAGAAGTGGACACAATCGAATTTATGCATTGAAAGTTAGATTATTGACACTTTAATGATTACGCATTCAAACCAGTCAATGAAATTCACGAGTGTGTAGCTAAGGGAATTAGCAATTCTATTTCTAAACGAATGTTATCATTAAAGTTTATATTTGGTTATAATATCGAAATATATGAGTAAAAATAATATAAAAATTTTAAATTTTAATATCGTCTAATTAAAGAACAGCTAATAGCTTAGGTTAAGAGATCAATTTTAACAGGGATATCACTTGGGCAGCTCACAACGCTAGTCCGTACCTAAAACTTGTATATAATAGATCATAATCTATATCTTTTTAAAACAGCAAGGCGCTGTGAGCGTATCACAAATTTGTTGAGTTACTGTCAGTTTCGGCTATCTCGTGGTTTGCCGCAGGTAAGACTGCCGAGATGTTTCAACCTCAGTATTGTAAAGACTGGACAATGGAGGAGAAAGTGCCAGGATGTTTCCACCTCACCCTTTGTATACAACTTTGGCAACTAACTTTCGACAAGATTTATGAACTTACCGCATGAATGCCTATTGGACCAAGTAATTAAGATCCGCTATGATTGCGGATTTTGAACTTTACTAAGTGCAAAGAGGATCTTGCAGTCGCACCGCTAAGCGAACGCCAGTGCTAGAATGTAAGACGCCAATGAAGATCCAACTCGGTTCTATTCCGATGTGACTTTGCAGTTGCCAGCGACTCTGCTATGATCAGGAACGCAAACGAGTCTGACGATGATGTAGCTTGCTTCTATTTCTAATGAGGACAGACACTTCTTGACTAGCTTTGAGCGTAGAGTTAGCGAGCTACTATTGCCACTCTGCTGACGAAGTCCCTGAAAGAGGCGGCGCTTCCTAGCAATACGTCTATCGCTACCTTAATTTCTGCCTAAAAACACTACAGTGGTGCGGTAGCCTGACAGACCTCCGGATCCACACATCCCCCGTTCGTATGTGTGCAGAGAAAAAACCGCCAGAAGTAGCCTGTGCGACGCAATGAAGTAAATTTCGGGAATGCAGTTGGAGTCGGAAAGAATTTCGAGCGCACTTTACTGCAATGCACCTGCCATCAATGTCCTGTTTGAGAGCAGCTTAACGTTTGATTATTTCAAATTAACGGTAGTCATAACATCCTAATTTCCATTTGCTATATGAATGCATAATACCAATATTGTAAATATATTCAAAGCTTAAGCTGTCGAAAGCTGATAGAAAGTCACATGCATAACTATTGTGTAATCGATAGCATCATTTTGCAACATTTCTACTTCGCTACATGAGCCCAAGCTCAGTTCGTTGTATAAACCATCACCACGTATTTACATCATTGTACCCGGTAGAAGACTGGCATATCCTATTATAATGCATTAATTCACCACACCTGGGAACACTTCACCTCAGACCATCACTGACGACTACACCACACTCGCTTACACGTCACATTACAACACCGGACACTAAAAAAGCTGATCCCCAGAGCAGACGGCGCTTACTTGAACTATAGAGATCCTGCTCGTCGACTCATTCGCTCTCGCACACATTTCTGCAGATATTCGCTACGGACACCGGCAATCTCTAGTTTACTTCTATTATGTAAAATAATATTAACTATATTTTCGATATTAAACTATATTGTTTACACGGCCATTTTTCAT